CTTATGACCTCCTGTGATCTTTCAGCTGTTCTTAAGCTGATAATGCTGACGTCCGATCTCAACCTTATCATTGTAACTAGACACGTTTGTTGTTTAGAGTGCTTAAGACTTTCTGACTTTCTTTACATGAAAGTATGGCTCAGTAACTTCCACTTTCAAGACATAAACTTTATCAAATCTTGAAGCAATCTGAACATAACTACGTAATTCTGTACACCAATTCATGAAGACTGCTGCTTTGTAGTTAAACTCTAAGGTTGAAAGAATAATTCCCAGTTACAACATTGACTGAGCAAATCTGAGAAGTTAAATAAAAGTATTTTCAAGTTTTTAACTCGTCATCTAAGCATCCTACGATGACAATCGAAGACATAAAACATCCTTGTCTATTATAAGACTTACAATATCTACAAGCCAAAGAATGAATACAATGCTAACGGCATCAAGAATACGTGGGGGGTTGGGAAGTTATGGGAGGAATCGGTTCCGTCGCATGAAGAGGTCTGATCACGGGAGACGAGCGGGTAAGAATGTCATTAATAACTCGTCCCCCGGGACGGGTGCTGTCCAGCGGTTGCAGACAAGCTGAAGAGGGAGACTTTTCCGCACGACGTGGAATCTGAAACGGCAGTGGACAAAACAAGAAGATTAATAGTTCTTCGTGGTTTTTGTATAGTGCCTTTAATATTTATCTCTTAACACCTTAGATAGTCTGATCGGGTTACGGGATACTAAACGGTATAATGCTCAATTGAGCGATTCGACATTGGGGACCTTCATCAACTTTCGAGATAAAAAGCGGGATTTAGTTCTAAAAGCGCCCCTTACCTGTCTCGGCCCGCGTCTAATAATGTTCCCTTCCCTTACCAGAACACCGGCAGATATGTCCATAGTGTCCACCTAACAAAATAAATAAACATGTAGAAAATAAATATGGCTACATCAACTTATTTCTTTGTAAATCCTTGTAGTAGACAAATGTGAGCTCCTAGCAGACTTTCTCTTTTCCAGAGGTCTTGCAGAAAGTTGTCGGTCGTTTTGTCAGAGGCGTGGGCAAAGAAAAATCTGTGCTCCCACAAGTAGTTGAATTTCAAACCTTTCGGTTTCACAGTCCGATTCAAAATAAGACACAAAGCTCTTCTCATAGGGTTGTTTCTTGCGACTCAACTGCTCCGAAAACGACTCCAAAATTTACCCCATCGCGCGCCTCAGTTACTGGAGTTTTCCCGCGCTTCAGGAAGTTTATTTTTTTACTTTGCGTTCTCATTAGTTCCTTGCGATTTTAAACCTTAGTTCTCATTGACCAATAAGATTACTTTGGTCAAAACGCACTCCTCAATGGGAACTGAAGAGAAAGGCAATGTCATTCGTGAAAAGACAAGAAAATCATCTTTTCTTTATCTAGTTCATACACAGACAAGTTCTTACCAACGGAGGTGGTAAGGGTGTTATGTAGCCAGCCTTTTCCGTCTGGTACGATGCGTTAGTAAGCGAAGTTGCATCGACATTTTGTTTGAGGCTTGCATTTTTGGAGGCGTTTAAGTCCTTCGTTGTTTCCCTCTTGCGCGAAGTTTGGCCGTGTTTCTTGGGTCTTGACCGAGTACGCACTACTTGGACGTCATTATCATTGTCTACTACTGAAAACTTGGTTCGAACTCTGTTGGT